CGGACCTCTTTTTGCTTCCCTTTTTGTCTTATCGAAAACTTGCAAATCCAGGCATGTTGACCAGCGAATCGTCTATGTTTTGGTTGAGCCACGATTCTTGTATGTATATCACACGTGTTTGTATGCACGCGACAAGTTGTTAGATCCGTGAGGTCAGGGAGTTTGCTAAACAGCGTACGAATGTTCGAACTGATTAATGAGGGAACCGTCATCTTCGCAGTAGGAATGTGTGCAAGCACTGTCTGCCACCCGGCACGCTTCCGTTTTTTACTGGGAGCAGAAATTCCAGTTTGGGCAGAACCATGTGAGATGGATAACACAGAATAATAACAGATATTCTTTGGGCCTAGTAATAATTCCGTGGGATACGAACGTCGAGAGAACATGGCAGAAACCAAGCAATAAACTCCAATGCAACAGTGAACACAAACGTATCGCAGCCAATCGAAAGGAGCACTCTTGAGTGTACGAAATTGGTCTAGATCCTTAAGCCGATAACCAGGTTGATAGTTATTTATCCAAGTGCTCGAGAGACGATGTGGGAGTCCTTGGATTGCGAATAGGGGTTCCTGAGTGAGCGTTTCACAAATGCAGTAAACAATTTAGCTAGTCCATTTGCATTCTGCTCAGGTTTCTAGCCCACCGAGACCAGTGGACACCCGGTAAATTGTTCTGATCAGACGCTTTTGCCCGCACTGATAAGAGAAGCAGTGTATCCAGCCGTAGAACGTTACAAACATTGTTCTCAGAATTGATCGAATCGGCAGCTGCAAAGTTCGCATCAAGGTACACTCGAAAGTAAATTTGTAAATTTGTATCAAAGTGATCATTCCCGCACAAACATGCTAATGGTATTGTTAATGATCACTGTTTCGGTCGGATCTGTTGCATAGGTTTGGCACACTGACGTTTTCGAGATACCCGTTTAGAGGAAATAAGATACCTGTCAAGCAAATGCTTGCAACTGTGTGAATCAGAAAACAACCTTCATTTTTCCTTTGTTACAATCGATCAAAACGGTGGTATCCTGTCTTCCCAGCCGTCTAATGATTCAGTAAACATCCATTGTCGAGTCTAGACTTACTCACAGTTCGCACTTTCTTTGGCTGCACATTTTCATTGATGATGGGTGTGTGTGCTTGAAGTCGCTAAGTGTGCCTGCCACCTTGAAATTTCTGGTCTGTCTTGCCAAACTCGTCTTCGACGATATATCCTCATGATCTTGTTTCGGAGTACTGTCATAGTGTCATATTGGCTCAGCAATCACCGCACAACAAAGTTATTAATTGGACTGTCAAATTTCACATGAAAGGATAATAAATTAGAATTGCAATATCCGTCCTATTTAACTTTCTTTCTCACATTCTGTTGACAGCTTTTCGTTGGGACACGTTTACTGACAAGCAATAAGATACACGTCTAAGACTTGATCAGTCGGGCAGGGTACTCGAGTTAAAACTGGAAAGTTCCTCTAACCTAAATAATGTTAAGGGGAACGGTTTAGTAAAGACAAACGTGAAGAGTTATTCTTATTGAGGGTGATTTTGCTGATAGATTGCAACGCTGTTACCATTTGAAATCATGATTGGCGTTAACCCTTTTAGTAAGGTAAATAAACCTACTTTCACGGCATTTTTACAGTTACCGATAGGGTAAACCGTATCTAAAGTTTTAGATTTGAAGATTTACTATATATACCCTCAATGTAATAGGTTTAAGAAAAATATTACAAACATGGATTCAAAATTATCGATCAGTTCAAAATCTTTCGGGTACATTTCCGGGTCATACACAATTTTACGGTCACTTGTATAGTATCTGACTAAGTTTCTTTCACGTAAACCGTGATTAACATTCATTGGTTCGGAATGAAATCAATAACTCCGTGACGAATATTTGATTCATTTGTTGAGAATATATTCAAGTTGATGACGAAATTCCGAACCAATCAAGCGTAATTTATTGCATGTTCTATTTTATTGTCTATTGGCAACCTCATGGAAATTGAAGTTCTTTTATTAATTAAATACCGGAAATACAATACCAGCTTTTCAAATCTCTGCCACATAGAAACACATTTTGCGCGAACATTTGCGTGACCGAAATACAAAATATCAAGCCATTAGTTACTCTCTTGAAAATTACTGGGAAATTGGATGAAAATTGTCGTGCGTGCCGAGAATATCAGGCTCTCAGCCGATCAGCTGTGGTTGGATGACAATCTGGTTACGAAGCTTCTTGAACTTCAGATGGAACAAGTGATTGCTATTATCAGTGCCGTGGTTTAAAAACGTTTGAAGTTAAGAGTCACGTGATTTGCCTTCCTACTGTGGGTAATGGACGTATGACGATGTGAGAGGTCAGCAATATCCAGTGACAGATCGAAAATGGTTAAACGAGTGAAACCTTTAAGGTGACTATTCCAGTTTTATAATTTCAAACCTAAGTTTTTGTGAAACAGTATGGTTCAATTTTTTCGATAGAATAGAGACGATTCACGAGAGTTTCACTCGGTATGAAATCAATAATCCGTGTTGGTCTAAACCATTTACTTGCTGATGT